AAATTTATTCTATTTGTAGTTTTATTTTTTTATTTTATTTATGTATCATTATTGTAATAAATAATAGAACCAATTAATATACAAAAACAAAAATTTTGTTATTAAAATTCTATTTCGTTGATTTCAAAAACTGATGCTTTTTTAAATTCTTTTTTAAATAAATAATGATAAAAACCTTATTATTTAGATTCTTCTAAATAAGTTATCAACTATGGTTGAAACTGCAGCTGAAAATTCAGTTAAACTGTCGGTTGAACTAATGATTTAATTATATTGAATTACATGATAAAAACTGATATTTATTATGGTTCTTAATCTTGAAACCAAACTGAATCAGTTCAGTTATACAACTAGTTTAAAATCAGTTTATCTTTAACTGTTAACATTCCTAATAATTTTTTCATTTATGATGAGCCAATAGAAAATGATAATGTTATAAGCATTGTAAAAAAACTACAAGAAGTGACAAAAAAGTATCATCAGGAACATGCTTCTCAAGAAATACATAAATTACGTTATATAGAAAACTCAAATCATACTAAAAGAAGAAAGAATTAGCAACAGCGTGAAGCAGCAAAAGGGACCCTTAAGTTACATACCTTTTGAAATGTTAAGAAATCTACTGAAGAAATTAAAGAATTAGATGATAAGACTAATATAGATATAGATGATAATGCTGATGAACAGTTAGAATTAAATGATAATGCTAATAAACAATTGGATAATGAGGTTAAGGGTTATAATTGTATAATAAAATTTCGGATGCTCTTGAAAGTCTAATGTTAGATATTAAAAAAGAAAAAATAAATAGTAAGATTTGGGTGTGTTTAAATAGCATTCATCTTTATTTTTAACTTGTGAAAAGTAACCATCCAAAAATGCAAGCAAGTGAAATTATTGCTGATGCAGTAGGAAAAGGAACATACCATGCTAAATGCATTCATTTTTGGGTATGTGAATATATAAAGAATTACAAAATTCCCTACTCCTGTCAAGGACATCATGTTAAGATATGAAGTTTTCTTTGGGATGAAGATATTCTCCTCTAAGTAAAATCATTTGTTCAGAAGCATAAGTGGGAAATTACTTCATAAATGTTAATGATACAAATGAATGAGAATATTTTACTAGGGCTCAGATTTGCATTGTCTCCAATTATTCATATAAATACTGCAAGAAACTATTTAAAAGAGCTTGGTTATATATATGCAAAAGTAAAAAGGAAATGTATATAGATAGGCATGAAAGAGAAGATGTGGTAGCTTATCAGAAAATATTTTTAGAACAAATAAGTGAACTTGAGCTTAGAATGCCTATTTTTTTAGGAGACAACTTAGAAGAAGTAACCTGACCAGATAATCCACTTATTCTTGTTACGCATGATGAATGCATTTTCTCAGCTTATGATGAAAGTCAGAGTTTTTGGATTTCTAATGGAGAATAACCCTTACGAAAAAAAGGTAACAGTCACTTGATTCATGTCAGTGACTTTTTGACTGATATTTGTGACTGTCTTGTACTTTCTGATGAAATACAAGTATCAGATAATTTTCTCAAAGAGGCCTGTATTATTATAAATCTAGGTAAAAACAATGATGGATGGTGAAAGGCTGAAGATTTAATAAACCAAGTAGTCAAACGTGCTATTCCTATATTTGAAAAACATTTTTCAGGGTATCAGGCTTTATTTGCATTTGATAATGCATCAAGTTATGCTACTTTTTCACCAGATGCACTAATTGCCAAATATATGAATTTTAGTCCTGATGGAAAGCAACCGAAGATGCATAGCACATATTTTGGTGAGAGAGTTCAACAAGAAATAGTTTTTCTATTGAATTATTATATTTTTAAACTGCATAAACAGCTAAAAGGGTTAAAGTAAGTTCTAACAGAAAGGGGATTGTGACCAAATGAAGGGTTAAAATTAGAAGAAGTATGAAAAATTATGAATTAGCAGCTGGATTTTTTAGCATAGAAGGGACGATTAGAATAGGTTATTGTTGCAGCTGGACATCAAATCATATTTTATTCTAAATTTCATTGTGAACTTAATTATATTGAGAACTTTTGAGATGCAGCTAAGAAATTTAGTCAGTCAAATTGTGATTACTTATGGACAGTATTACAAAGGACTGTTCTATTGACTCTTGCTTCTATTTTATTTACAACTATTCGCTGATATGCAATGAAGGCATTTCGCTATATAGCTGTATACTGAAAATGCTTAACAGGTCAGGTAGCAGAATTTGCAGTTAAAAGTATTGTTCACATCATTGGATTCCCAATTCAGTTTTACAAATAGTTATTATTTAGATAAAATACACTGGATTATTTACACTGGCTATAGACAAAAAGAAAAGCAAAAAATTAGTAATATGTAAATTTTATACATATCAATAATAACAATTAAAATACTTATCTTTTAAAAACTTTCATTTATTTTTTTAATAAAAATAGCAAGAGACTTTAAATCTTTTTTTTAAAAGATTGTGGCTTTAGATTAGTGTCACAAAAATAAAAATTAACCAATAAAAAATAAGAAAATTGATCATGTAAGTCATGTGAGAGGCAGTTAAAATTTCTGATTTTATAGTAAAATGATCTCACTTTTAAATTGCTACTGTTCTATCAAAAATAGTTTTATCAGAATTTTAAAAATATAGTTTTGTTAGGCTTGAGTTACTCTATCATTTTATGATTATATTTTATATTTATCATGTTTTTTGAATGAGGAATAGCAATTTGAATTTTATCAAATTTATTGGTTAGGACTAAGTTGTATGCACTGTATAATTAAAATTCTTTTATTTAAAGTGAAATTGCAATAATATTTATATTATTATTTTTTTATTTATATACTTTAAATAAAATAAATAAAATAAAAAAGTAAAATAAAAGTTTATCAAAATTTATTTATGATTAATTCATTTATATAAATTCTTTAAATTCTTTCAATAATAAATAATAATAAATAAAAAAAAATAACTTTTCTTATTTTAAAATCCAACCAATATCATCTATTATCAACTTGATATAAGGATATTGATATTTATTACATAATATCTATTTACTATAAGCTCATATTCTCTCTTATAATAATTTTATAATATATAATATATATTAAAATCTTTTATTACCTTCTCTCTAAAATATTATATAATAATATCATTATTCTTAATTCTTTTTTTTGATTTTTTATTTTCTATTATTTATTTATAAAAAATAATTAATAAATAATTAACTAATTAGTTATTTATTATTTACTTTGATAATAATAAATAAAGAAAAAAAATTAATACTAAAATTATAATTTATAAAGAAAGTTAAAAAAAGTAATAAAAAAATTCTAACTACATTTTATACTTTATCTTTTATTACTGAATTATCATCATTTTATTTATTTATTTTTTTTAGTAAAAAAAATAATCAATAATAATAAAAAGCTAAAAAGTTATTTATTATATTATTATTTTAGATCTGTGATCAAATAAATGAATAAAAAAAAAAATATTAATAATAACTCAATATATATATAATATATATTATATAAATATATTATATAAAAATATAATTAATCTATTTTTAATTAATTTGATAATATATCAAATACATTGAATTTGATATATTTAGAAAAATTGTCTCAAATTATTAACAATTTAAATAAAATATCACTTTTTATATCTAAATTCATAATAATATCTGAAAACTAACTGACGTATGTATAATAAATTTTAAATATTTATATTAAAAGAATATCTTATTATTTTCTACATCTATTATGAAAGATTTTTATATAAATAAATCACTTAAATTGCATATTATCTATCATAAACTTATCTTATTGAAAAAGTAAATTAGATTAATATACTTGCTCAATATAAAATATTAAAACATTATTTATTAAAATTCTTATATATTTACTCTGTATAAAATTATAAACTAGATTCTAATTTCTAATATTAGTGAACATCTCAGATAAAATCAATATAATATCTTTATATTACAGAAAATTTTTATTTTCTGCTTACTTTCAATATTTTTTTAAATGAAATTTAAACTCTAACTTTTACACAAAAATCATAATATTATAAAAATAATAAAATACTCAATTATTTATAAAGTATTATCATTATATTCTAATATATTAGAAGTATATCTAAGACTAACTGATGTTAACTACATCTTAAACAGGAAGATCTTTGATAAAACTTTAAGATGTATTTCTTTTAGTTAAGTTTACATAACTTTTACCTTCATTATTACACAAATATTATACATGAAAGATCAATATTAAGAATAATAAATCTATTCTTAAAATTATATATATTTGAATAATACAATCAACTTATTAAATAAAGTATATAATAAAGACTTTTATTACTTACAAATAATGATTAGATTTGTTTATTATGTTAATAACTATTAACTGCCAATCTTTATTTATGATTTGAATCTTAAATCTCTTTTATTTTCACATTTATTTTCTAATAGTAAAGTAATTTCTATAATATAAGAAAGTGTAAATAATCAACTAAAGATTAAACAGAAATTTGAGAAAATATGCCAAATATATATTATTTTTAATGATTTAAGGTTTAAATTTAATAACTATTAGTTGACTTATATTTATCTACAATTAGAAAAACTTAGTTATTACTAAAAATATATAATATATATTACACAAAAAACTTAAATAAATCACAAAAACTTTTATTCATGTTTAATTTAATATAATAAAGCAAATATTCAAATATAGAATATATAAATAAAACTCTGGTTATATTAATTTTTACATTTATTAAAACAAGTAACTCTTATTTTTATAAAAAATTACATCCCAATTTTATGCTATAAAATCTGTCTTTTAATAAGTTTAAAATAAAGTGAAGGATTATATATATTTACGCAAAGTGTCTTAATATCTGGCTACTTAAAATTTTATCACTTTATCAATAGTAGAAAATAGATAAGCAAACCTTTAAAATATATTATAATAAATAAACAATAATAACAATATTCTAATTAACTGATTCTTACATTATGCATTTTACTTTTTACATCATTTTAGATCATTCAAAAAAGAAATGAAAAATCAGTGATTAGAGTATAATCATAGACTTCTTTGATAAATTGAATATTAAAATAAAGAGATTGCTTATATACATAAATGCTACTAGATCACAAAATGATCAAATTTATGATCAAGTATAACATTATACATTTAGATCTTTTAGATTAAGAACAAAAACTTGAATTATATTAAAAAAATCCTTACTTATTAGATTCATTAATGTAATCTTATTAAATATATAATAAACTTACTTTTTTTAGGAATAATATAAGAAAGACTTTTCATAATAAATCTTTAAAATTATTTATATTAATCAAAATTTTTGTAGATATATATATAAATACATTAAACTTGCAAATTAATAGATAATATTTTATTTTTCTATAATCTTAATGACCTAGAATATTTATATAAATGTATAATATATCACTTCAAAAAAATTTGTAAAGTATATTATTAAATACATTGCTAAAGTAGAATTTTTACATATATTCAATATCACAGAAAATAATCAATTCAAGAAATATAATTACTTGAAGGTTAGGATCAATAAAAGCAATTTTCTTGCTATTTGAGAGATGATCTACAACTTTCTAATCTAAATAAAATATCTAAATGCAGAAATCTAAATAGCAGATCAAAAACAGCATTATCAGTTTACTTGCTAATAAATAAAGATGATGACTTATACTTAGAGCTCTAAACAGGTCAATTCAGATCAAAATAATTAAGTTATTTGAATTGAGAGGATCAGATTAGGTCAAACAAAAATCTATTCTGATTTAAATTTTTATTTAATTTGACCTGACCTGATCTAATCAAAATTATTTAAAAAGAAAAAATAGCTATTATTTAAGAATGATAATAAATTATTATAATTGAATAATAAAACATCATTCTTGAATAATAAAATATTGTTCTTGAATAATAAAACATTATTCTCAATAATAAAATATTATTTTCAAATAATAAAACATCATTTCTTGAATGATAAAATTATCATTCTTAAACGATAAAATATTGTTTTTAAATAATAAATCATCATTCTTAAATGATAAAATATTGTTCTTGAATATGATAAAATCATCATTCTCAAATGATAAAACATTATTCTTGAATGATAAAATACTGTTCAAGAATGATAACAAATTATTTTAATTGAACGATAAAATCATCATTTTCAAATGATAAAACATTGTTCTTAAATGATAAAATTATCATTCTTAAATGATAAAACATTATTATTGAATGATAAAATTATTTTTTAAACAATAAAACATCATTTTTGAATGATAAAATATCATTCTCAAATAATAAAACATCATTCTTGAATGATAAAATCATCATTCTCAGATGATGATTGGTTGACCTGCATTTTTTCAGGTTAGGTTAAATCTAATGATGAGGGACGAAACCCCTTAATAACAGTCGAAACTTAGACGAAACTATATTAAAATCATAATAAGGAATACGATGAAAGCTGAAACTGTCGAAACTATATTAAAAACATAGAAAAGGATATGACGAAATTATTTTGAGGAGGTTTCGGCAAGCATCTATACTGATAACTCATTCTTTTTAGAACTTCCTTGAGATAATTCGGAACTCAACTAAATAGATCTTTTCTTTATAAAGTAATATATTGCAGTGAAATTTTTAATGGCAGTTAACTCCAAGAAGTATTCAGAAAATAAGGAGCAACTCGTTCATAAGCGTTGTTGTACAATGCTATTAGCTGTAATTAAATCAAAGTACTTTACGTCAAACCAAAACCGCACCTTATCCTCTCGTTACCTTGATTAATGTGACGCAGCATTATTTATAATTTATATACTATATTACATCTTCTTAAGTATCTTCTATTATATATTATCTAAAAATTCCTCTAAATGTTTAATTTTTATTAATATAATGCTAATACTTTAACCAAGCTAAATATATTACATATATTAAAAAAATATGTAAGAAACAAAATTAAAAAGTACCACTTAAAATTATTTTTAACGCTAATGATTGATTGTTATAGATTATGATTGATCGTAATGTAATAAGAATGGATTGATCCCAAATCATCTAATTGATCTAGTTGGCTTAGAAAAACCAAATCGTCATTTGATGGATAGAATGGGCATATAGATTTAGAAATAGATAGTAATATTGTTTTGTGGGTAAATAGTTATCGAGTTTTGATAACGTTTGTCATTGTATAGATAGAATGCCAACCATAATTTCTACACATTTGCGAATGAGAATATTTTGCAGCATTATTATTTAGTGGTTGGTTAATTACAACAGAAGCTACATATTGTGCTCTTCCACGCATTCTCAGAAAATTTGTTGTGATATCTTGAAATAAGATTGGATTCACTACTAGTTGTTGTAGTTAATTGATTAACTGACGAGTAAAAAACTTTATTTTATTTAAAAATCAAAGGTAGGTAAGTGGTTTATAATATATGAATTGTTGCATTGAAAAATAATTTTATGAATCTGACGTTTGACCCCATGTTCAACAGAAAAATTATTGTGGATGGAACAACATTAAAATCTGACGTAATAATTGATCTTGTAGGCGAGTGATTGAATATTATTTCCTAACGGGATAATATAATTTCATAGGTTTCTAAACTAGATATTTGAGTACAAGAAAGTGGATTTTTGATATCTTTGCAATCCACTCGAAGCAATTAATATGCAATTCTTATTTGTATTAGTAATAGTTAAAATCATAAATAATTTGAGTTTTGTATTTTCTTCCCGCTCTCTTTGGACTTCTTCGTCAATTTTGAATAGTTTCTTACTTGGTTATAACATCATTTTCTTGCACATTAATTCTTTTTAAAATATTTAAATCGAGATCTTACATCTAATAATTTCTTATTTTTATCGTTAAAACAATGTTTTAAGTTTAGAATATCTTACTTTCAGTTTCTAATTCGGATAGTATCTCTGCCATGCTAATTATCTAAATCATTACTACCTATTTCATTTTATAAAAGAAGAGTAGCATTTGATTTCATCGTCGGTTTACTTTTTCTTTTTGCTTTGCTCTAGATCATAATTATTTTCATTCAAGTCTTTCAAACCTTTTTCAAAGTTATAAGTTTTCTTTTGTGAAATGTTGTTTAGGTGAGAGTCTCATTTACAAAGATATTTCAGCCCTCGAATATTTATTTTATAATGAATAATGAATATTTAGAATGAACTATATCCTTTTCCATATTGTATTATTTACTTCTATATACTTAAAAAACAAAAAATCGATCCCATTTGGGAATTTGTATTACGTTTTTAATTAAGAAAAGTGTCAAATATACCATTAAATTAATAAATCAGAACGTATGTTGCAATAGCGATTTGATTTAATTCCATTGAAGACAAATATATATCAATATATGTAAGTAAATGTAAGCTCAAATTGTTTGTACCTTTATTATAAAATCGATATTTTATAAATATTAATTTAGTTCTTGAAGATTTAGCGATGACTAATATTTTAAAGTTCCTGTTTCTCATGAAGTTATACTTTAAAAGTCATGCAAGCATAAAAAGAGAAACTACCGTAATCATCAAAATATTTGCACCACTGATGCAATATAACTTGAATTTTTTGTTATTTTTGTACAAATTCTTATTCATATACTGTATAATAATTATAAAAAATACTTTCTCAAATACTAATTGAATAATACATTTCTTTAAATAAATTTATATTGATATATGCCTCAACTAACTATTGAGCAAAATTTCGTAGCATTTACATTGGTCAATTAAAAGGCGAAAAAAAACAAGCAGTATTAGCAAGTTAGGTCATCCGGCGAAAGTTAACGTAGTGGGAGGCAATTATTAACAGTGGTACTGTACTTCGAACATTAAAATCCCTTTAATTATTTTGCCTACATTTTGTATTTAATTTATTTATCATTTTAATTGTTTTAAATATTTTAAAATATGTTATTAAAAAATTAATACTTTATGATAAAAATTAATAAAATAAAATGTAATTAACTAATGATTTTTTAAATCTTGTTCTATATTGATCTCATCATTTAATAGGATTAATGAGATGAATTCAATAAACTAAATTTTTTTTATAAATAATTATTACTTAATATGTTGTTTTTGATATATATTATTTAGATATATATTAATTATTATTAATTTTAAAAATTTAAAATATCATTATTAAATGTATTTTAAAATGACAAATCTAATAAAACTTTATTTCATTTTTTATAATCATTAGATGTCAAAATATTTTAATTTTACTTGCAATTAATTTTTGCAGCCACACACGCATCAGATTATTTGGTTATATTCATCATTTCTTTAAATTTATTAAATTTAGATTTTGATAAATTAAAATCATATTTACACAAATTTTCTAAAACTATATTAAAATATTAGAGGATGATGAATATTATGATATTAAAATTGAAGTTGGGAAGATTCTGATGTGAAAATATTCTGTACGCATAAGGTTATTATTTTGTGTAATCGTTCTCCATTTTACGACATGCTAACCATAAAAAGGTTAATGATGTCTCTCTGATTCATATAAATTACCAAAGTTTTCAGCGGATGCCTTTCAAATTATTTTAAGTTACGTTGTTTACGTTTGACGTTTTATTTTCTTTGTGATATTTTTAATTTCAAAATTTTTATTTAGATACATTTACGGTGGTGTCATTTCATTAAATGAGCATGAAGTCTTGGATATTTTAAAGATATTGGCTGCTACTGATGAGCTTCATTTTCAAAAACTAGTTGAATATTTACAAAAGTATTTAATCGAAAATAAGGTTGAATGTATTGAACAAAATTTTTGGCTTTACCTATAGTATTAGCATTCAATCGAATTAAAACGAATTCTTATAATAATATGACATCATCTTCGAAAATTTATTTAAAATATATCTCTTGTAATACAACTAAATGCTTAATTATTACTTTTCGCGAAATTTGAATCATACCGTATCATACTTTATAATATTTATTAACCAGACCGCGGAATGAACTTATTCTATAAATTTGTATCTGTCATGTGACTAGACGTTATATAACAACGTGAATTACTAATGTTTTAAAATAATTAAATTTTAACCGATTTTTGATAAACTTTTTTATTTCAAAAAAAAAAAAATTATTAAAGGACAATTGCATCACATATTAAGCAATATTTTTTCTTTTGACAACTATGCCATCGAAATGATCTGCAAAATATTGACAAAGCGAATCGGACTGATCTTACTTTTTTAAGTTAGAAAGGAAAAAATTCGTTATAAAAAGGAATGATAGTTGAGGGCTGAAATTTATTTGAATTTGAAATTCCACCTATAAGCAACAACATTTCACAACGAAATTAAAGAGAAAAATAATCGTAAAATAGTCTTAAAACACAACTTAAAAAAAGATTTGAAAGACTTGAATGAAAGAGTTAAAGATTTAGAACAGAGCAAAAAGAAATCCGACGATGAAAATCAATTACTACTCTCCTTTTTATCGAATGAAATAGGTAGTAATAATTTAAATGATTTAAGAAAATTATTAGCAGAGCAAAAACTTACAGAGTTCTTAGCTGAATTAGAAAACTGAAAGCAAGTTATGCAAAACTTAAACATAGATTTATCAAACGTAGGCTCTCTATCTAAATATTTTAAAGAACAGATAAAAGCGCAAGAAAAAGAAACCATCAAAGAGCGAGATAAAGAAATCAAAACCAATCAGGAAATAATTAGTAATTTAGAAAAATTGATTAGAGAACAAGAAGAAAAAAGCAAAGAAATTATTAATTATTTGGAAGAAATGATTAAGGAGCGAGACGACAAAATTAAAATCAAACAAGAAACAATTAGTAACTTAAATGGGAAAATTAAGGAGACAGAGAAAGAGATTTATTTAAAGGAAAAGATTAGAGAGCGGGAAGATAATATCAAAACCCAAGCATTAGAATATATTTACGATGCTATTAGCGGATTAACTATTACTAATACAAATAAGGATCATATATTAAATGCTCTGGGTGGATTACAAAGATATCAAAAATTAAAAGAACTTCATTTCTCTGATACTCAAATATCTTGTTTACCAACCTTGCCTAACTGCTTAACAACTCTCCGCTGTGATGATACACAAATAACTGGTTTACCAACTTTACCCGACTTCTTAACAACTCTTAATTGCTCTAGTACGCTAATAACAAGTTTACTAACGTTACCAAACTCCTTAACAATACTTGATTACCGTGATACCCAAATAACAAGCTTACCAACATTACCCAACTCCTTAACAGAACTCTATTGCTATAAAACTCAAATAACAAGCTTACCAACCTTACCAAACTCCTTAACAATACTCAGTTACTGTGATACCCAAATAACTAGTTTACCAACCTTACCAAACTCCTTAATGAAACTCTGGTGTTTTGATACACAAATAACTAGCTTACCAACCTTACCAAACTCCTTAACAATGCTCTATTGCTATAAAACTCAAATAAAAAGCTTACCAACCTTACTAAACTCCTTAACAATACTCAGTTGCTGTGATACTAAAATAACTAGTTTACTAACCTTACCAAACTCCTTAACGATACTCTATTGCCATGAAACTCAAATAACAAGCTTACCAACCTTATCAAACTCCTTAACGAAACTCAGTTACTTTGATACCAAAATGACTAGTTTACCAACCTTACCAAACTTCTTAACGAAACTTTATTACCATGAAACTCAAATAACAAGCTTACCAACCTTACCAAATTCCTTAACGAAACTCTATTGCTATGAAACTCAAATAACTAGTTTACCAACCTTACCAAACTCTTTAATAATACTCAGTTGCTGTGATACCCAAATAACTAGTTTACCAACCTTACCAAACTCCTTAACGAAATTCTGGTGTTTTGATACATAAATAACTAGCTTACCAACCTTACCAAACTCCTTAATAATGCTCTATTGCTATAAAACTCAAATTTATAGCTTACCAACCTTACCAAACTCCTTAACGAAACTCATTGTGATCGAACTCAAATAACTAGTTTACCAACCTTACCAAACTCCTTAATAATGCTTTGGTGTTTTGATACACAAATAAATAGCCTACTAAATTTACCCAATTTCTTAACGGATATCAAACCTGAATCTTTCTAATAATGATTCTACAAAATCTACCTGACTTCTGTTTGAATAACTCTATTAATTACCTTCTAACTATTAAGCTTTCTTGCAATTCGTAATGTTATTTAAAATTATGTATCATTCAAATTTTTTTAATTATCTTTCCTTTTTTATCTTATAAATTATTTTTCGGCAGCAATATATAAATTGTGAATTTTATATTATTCTTTCTCATCTATAAATTTTATCTATTGATTCCAACATTAATAAAAAATTTATCAAAGACAATAACATTTAAAATATCTTGATAAACTTGTTATAAAAAACACAAGGTATATTGTTTTTATAAACTAATTTGAGCATTTTATTCATTAAAATTAATTCTTTAAGGTTAACCACTTCAAAAAATAATTGTTTTTTACAATGTGAATAAATAAGATCTGACTATTTTTTTTTAAAACAACATTTCCTAACAAAATTCCTCTTTTACAGTTGTTTGAATGTTTATTGATTCCTTCTGAATTTTCTACCCACAATGTTCAGGCATTGATCTTTTGATCAGATCCTTTCGATTTTAATTATATATTATTTTTTCTAATTAAAATTATTTATTTACAGTATGTTATGCGTATTCTCCTTAATCTAAAACTTTTACAAAATTTATTCTTTTTAAATTAACTCATTTATTTCATTATATAGTTTGAATAGCAAACTGATAAATCAAAATCTTGTCACCCAATGACCAAATTTGCCTTTTAGTTGTAATGGATCATGTTTAATTTAATTCATTTTTAACTAAAATATAAGTACACAAGGTATTTATCATGATTAATATTTTCTGCAATTTGATACCAATGATTATTTTCTTATCGGCATAACGGGACGAAGTATTCCTTGTGGTTGTTATTATTACATCCTCGCAAATGCTGAATATAATAAGACAAATTTCTAACTAAACAATTAATGTGCTTTATAACTTACCTTTGCATCGATGCAATCAATCATTCGAACGAGTATATTCCGCAAGATATGTTCTCATTTGTTGTGTAGAGTATCCGTTAATTCTAATTGATTTTTACTTTGTTTATTATATCCACGCAATTTATTTTTATTGAATATTCTCATCAAATAATAAATACTTTAAATAAAAAAAATTGATTAATTTTTTTTAATACGATATAACCATTAATCGGATCGAATTATAATAGCTACAATTTCAGAAGGTTAAGCAATTTTTCCAAAATTTCAGCACATTAAATTTTTATCGTATTGATGTTGGTTTGGGTATACTGTACAATGATAATCAAAATTAAGTAAAAGCCTTCATTTTCATTTTATTAATTTTTTATGCTCGTTTATTTTTTAGACTTATTAATCAAATACGATAATAAGCCTTTTCTGATTCACATTATTTAATTATTAGAATATATTGAATATTATTTTGTATAAAATATAAATTATATTAAAATTTATATAATGAAGACAATCAATGACACTATACATCATATTAGATGACGCAATAGCATTTGGCAAAGATTAGAATAAAAATGAAACTTATATAGATTATTTGCTACACGAATACTTTCTTTGTTAATTTGAATTTTACTATTAAAAGACTTTTAAAAGGGGCAACAGCCGTGATCAATTTATTTAAAATTTTTTCAAAATTTAAAATTTAATGCACTGCATTTTTTCAAGGAAAAAAGGCGTAATTATAATTCTAGCTTACTTAAATGAATTGCAAATAGTGATTATGAAGAATCAGCATGTCTAATACACAAAGTCTAACTCTGTTGAAGAATTCAATTAAACTACCAAAAATAAAAAGGAGATTGTTGAATCTATTTAAATTTATTCAATAGACTGAGAACTTGAAGTACATTGCCTTGATAAGGAAAGGTATATGCAATATGACATGATCAAAACAATAATTTAACTATGTTTTTAAAATAAAATTGTTCTGAATTGAGCCAAAGAATTATACTTGTGGCAAATCATTTAAAAGTTCGCAATACAATAAAAAAACCTTAATTTATTAATAAGCAATGAGCATGAGCTTTAGAATATGCAATCAGTCAGATTTTATTGACTAAGTTTATCTGCTTATCTATGATACACAGGTTGTATCCAAAGCCCATTTTAAAATTTTGTAAAAAAACGAATTCAAAAAATTTAAACAATCAATAAATAAATAATCTTTATTTGATATAATATCATTTCTGAAGATTAATATTTAATTTTATAAATAACTAAATTAGGAAACTACCTATTTTATACTTGACTAAGATAAGTTCTAATTGAAAAATTTAAACAAATGCAATGAATAATTCACGG